CTAGGGGGACAGTATAAGATAAGGATGGTCACAAGTGATGCCTGGAGGATACAGATCCTACAAAGGGCATGAGTGATTATATCTCAACATCTACTCAAACAACATGCCTCAGGGGTGTGATATTTTTCTGACTTTTTCAACATCCACTATAATAATGTTTGGGGGATTTGGGATTCGTACATAGTAATTCCTGTCATGCGAAGGATGCACAAAGGATTCAGGAAACATTGTATGGTTTTTTTAACCATCAAACATCCTTCTCTACATATCAGTGTGATATATAATTACACAAAAAGGACTTAAAATTTCTTTATTTTAATCAGAACTCCAGCTTCCTGTCATCTTAGTGACGCGACATCATGTTGAACATGTTCAAGTTTGTAACTCTGAACTGGTGAACGGGCAAATCCCTCAACATGCTCACTCCCTCATCCATGAGAAATTTAATGGAAACGGTGGTTATGTAATACCACAATAATTACATGAGTGAGTTACTTTGGTTTAAAGCTGCTTTGAACAATGTTCCAGTTATATCACGCCATGTCAGCTTGATATTGGAGGAAAGCCTGAAGAGATGCAGGACTTATTTGGTTACTACTTTGGTTAAACCCACGAGCACAGGCATGGTGCTGACAAGGCAAGAAACATAAACAGGACAATTACAGAATTTGAAACCATAATTATAGGTTTCTGGCATGCAAATGGAATGCAGCTTGACAGCCCATGTTCTTTGTAAGCATGAGTGATAGAAGCTTACCTGTATATGAAAATTTCAGGAAAATAATGGAAATATTTTCAGAAAATATTCCCAGTCCTGCAAAGTCAGTCTGGCTGTGTGTCTACCTCCAATACTGCAACTGAGGAACTAACTCAGATTATCAGAATTATTTGTCATCTTTACTGATGACCTAATGATAATGCTAAAGGTAAAGATTACCATGGTTACCACGGAAACCTGACAACATCAAGTTAATCAAGTTAATCAACAGCTAACAAGGTTTATCGATTGCTGAATCAAACATTGGTCTGGGTGTGGTGTGGATCTATAAAGCATGTTTATGCATGTTGTTTACACACCTACAGATGTATATCAGTTCTTATGGGTAAAGTGACCAATAATCCGTGAATCTGATAGGCAGAATTAGTCAGGCTAAAGAAATGTATGTCCAGAGAAAAGTTAAGAAATGTAGGGTTATTTGTTTGCTGTTACTAAAATCTGGAACATGTACACTGTTACTTTAAGAAATAAAGTTTGCTCTTCCCCCATGTGTAGTGTAATACAGTATAGTTTTGCCCTGAACTATGATAGTTAGAGTGATTGAGAGTGAGTGAGTGAGTGAGTGAGTGAGTGAGTGAGTGAGTGGTCACTTTTAGCAATATTTCAGCAATATCATGACGGGGACACTGAAAAATGGTCTTCACACATTGTACCCATGTGGGGAATCGAACCCTGGTCCTCGAAGTGACAAGTCAACGCTTTAACCACTTACTAAGGTTATTATAGTAAAAGTACGAGGACACTTGCATTTCCACTATGTGGTGCAGATAAAGGGTTCACCCTGTTTTTGCATATTCTACCTGATTTAGTTTGCTTTGTTTGTTGATTATAGAATTATCATTATGTTAAACTTGCCACAACAGCATGTAGAATTTTGTAAATACCTCAACCCAGACCTGCCACAGCATTGAGAGTTTCTGGACAAATGGGTTTCCAGAAATAAAATGGAATGTGTTACAATAGATATTTGCAGAAAGAATTTTCATAACTACAAGTACACATACTTATCCTGGATAGTTCATAATGGAAATATATTATTATAACTGCAGAGTTCTCATGTCATAAAAAAGATTCATCAGTGTATTACTTTCAGAAATTCTGGGATTCTTGAATAATTAAAGCTAGAGACCATGTGGCATTGTAAACTTTGAACATTTAACGTTATGACAATGGCCATGCTTAATGTCAAATACTGAACAGCACGTGACAAACCGTAAGTTTGGAAACAGGATACGGACATATCAAAATACTTATTTATCACAACCACCCTGAATATTTCAGTGACATGAGCATGATGAAAAAAGAACAATCTCATTAACATATCTAACAACTGACTTTGGAGACTTTGACCAGTTGTACACCAGTGATCACAGCCTTGCCAGGCAATACTTGATTACATGAGATTATATGAATATTGCACCTAGCATGATGTACACAACAGTTATGAACACTATCATATAGCCAAAAACATTCAAAAAATATTCTTTTCATACAGAAAAAGGAACAGATGTTTTTTAATAAAAACATTATATAATAAAATATAACAACAAATTATATATATTCTGATATTAGGGCATGGAAATTGAATATTAATCAATATATGATTCTATAGCATTTTATTGGGTGAGGTGAGGTGAAATTGGGTTTAACGTCGCGTCCAAGATTATTGCACTTATATAGCGATGTGCATGTACGTGTATGTGTTTGTGTGGCTGCTTGTACTAGTCTGGACTGATGCCGATTTATAGTGCTAGCTCACTGAGATACCATGCCGCAGTTTAACATGAATACCACACTCAGACACAGTATACTGACTCCGAGCAGACCAGTCCTTGTTTTATACCCTTAATGCCGAGCGCCAGACAGGGTAACAACAAGTACCATCTTTTAACGTCTTTTGTATGACACGGTCGGGGATTGAACCCCGGAGCTTCCGCTTTCCGGGCGAATGCTCTACCACTAGACCACAAAGGCGGTCAGCGTTTAATTGAACTACTCATACAATCATAATGAGTAATAAGCATGGCAAGGCCAGTCGGTTCTTTTGTAGAAACTGAATCATTTTTGAACATGTTGAAAGTAAAATTTCAAACATGCTTTTTAAGACCTATGAAATATGTTTAAGGTATTGCCAGACATGAGAAACAAGGAGAAGAAATGAAAAATGTTATTAATCAAGTTAATTATTGATAGGTCAAAGGGTTACTACTTTCTCATATCACGCTATATTATACCTACTGAATTCAGATATATAACCATGTTAACCAGATGAACAGACTTGACAGATTCCAAAATGCTAATCGGGAATGAGGCAGTTCCTATTCCCCGTTAAATAAACAACAAGTCAAAAAGATCATGTCAGACATGTAATGAGACAAAAGACAGAACTGAACAAATTCCCCCCAAATGACACTTTTTTCTGTATATTCAACGAAAGTGTAAATAATAGACCAGTGGTTTCAACTTCCCGATAACTGAAGTTCATTCTAATATTAGCAAAATTTCATGCTGTTCATGCTCTGTATGTGACAGTAAACTTCGTTGAACAGCACGAAATTTACAAAAAAAGAACATGCGCAAGTGGTATGGCAATGGGTGAGCATTTCCATGTTAAGCGATGAGTGTATTTGGACGAGCTATACCAAAACAAACCAAGAACAACTGTTCCCTTCTGTTCAATAATTTTATTCCAAATTTATGGAATGTTAAGTAGGTATATCTGAAAACCAAGTACTAAAGCACCCAGCTGAGTAAGCTTAGCTGAATACACAACGCCTTGTGCTCCTATAGCAGTACATGTGACACACCTCTATACCAGAAGGGCCGATGTGTGGAGTTTTGTTTGACAAAAAACATGTCAAGCTTGTGACCATGCTGACAACTAACCAGATTCTAATTCTGTTACTATGACAATGGTGGACAATTTTTCAATAACCAGGCAACAGTCGGGGCTCGATTTAAGGAAATTGATTTAACTTGCTCCAGACATGAAAAGCAAGTTGCCGCAAACAACACCAGGTTGCACTCCGGTCATGTAAATTTATCAAAGTTGAAAAACATAGGCCTGTCTGCTGACAGTGACCCATTGCTGTAAAACATAATAGAAACATGTAGGGCTGGGATGAGTCCAAATTTACTGCCCGGATACCTGCCCCCCCCCATCTATTAGCATGATTAGCCTACCCTACCCCGGGTACCCACTGAGATGTCTCAAAATGTCCGATTGGGAACTTTTTTAGCATAGCCCTGGCAAAACGTATTTAGATACATGTATTAAACAATCTGGTCATGCATACACTGAAGTTGAATTGAGATATATCTTTATTCAACCTTATGAAAAATCAGAAGGAATGGGTGCATAGTAAGCAATGGTAAGAAAGAAATGCGAACATTAATGACTTGTAGTGTAACCATAGAGTTCCAGATAATTTTAGTCATTAGACAATGTATCACATGACTAACCACGGGTCCAGGTAGAGCTGTGGGTACCCCGGTCCTACTCAGTACCCACCCGACCCAGGTACTCGAGTTACCCGTCCCAGCCCTAGAAACATGTGCATAAAATCTTGAAGTACCCACAGTTTGCTGATGTCACGACTCAAAAAGCAGGACAAATTACACATGAAACAGGGATTAGTGATGTAGTATGGTAAATAAACTTTAGAGGTATTGAGTGTGTTCAAATATTGATTTTGTGTGGAGAAGTAAGGGTTAGTCACACACAAATGTAAAATCATTTTACATGCGCTTGGTCATTTCTGACACAAGTGACAGCCATAGAAATTGGCACTCGTCCTGTAGTCTTTGCCAAACTGACCACTAGTTAAGGTAGTATTACTATAAGGACCAGTAGAAATTTGCCATTTTTAAGAGTTTTACTATATGTTGTCATTATAAGGACTAGTGGACTAAAACTGTTAGTTTCTACTGCAGACTGATGTACTGTATACTATGTAAATATAACCTGCATCACCCTCGTAGCCTGCTAACATACCAGGAAAAACATGGCCCCTAGGTTGCTCGCCTACGGCAAGAGAAACAACAAGGATTATCAGTTCTTCCCCAAACAACTTGTTGATGTTTCAAGTCAAATGGAAGGACAGTCACAAATGAACCCTACACTAGTTAGCAGGTCATTACTAAAACTACCTGGCAGATCGTGATCGTTGCGTGGATTATATACAACAATGTAATCAATAATCTTGTCAATAACGCACACTACCTGGCTGATGATGTAGATGTTCACTCTGCTGTTTCTCTCAAACCTTGCAGACCTTCACATGCAGATAGTATGTATAAACACGTGAACAGAGTTACATGACGTCAAGGTTCAGTAAACTGGGGTACGTGAACAAGAAGAGTGTGTTGTTAAGCCACACACACACCAAAGAACAAGCGTGACTCAGCAATAGTGCTCGGCTCTTTAATACATGGTAGGGGAGGTTAGAATCTGGGACACATGTATATTTAGTATTGACGAAGACATCCAATGACATCCTTGTCGTTCTGTACTATGCAGTGTTTCTGTAGCTCAGGTGTCAATTAGAATGTTCAACAACTAGCTGACATTCATCATGGGATTCATCAAGAACTTGAACTAGCTCATGGCCAGCAAATTAGGAAGAAAAAACACTATTTGTTAGAAGTTGGGAAATATATTTAAAGTCCCTTTTTTCTGAATTCAGAGGTAATCTGGCAAATACGATAGTGTAAAACTAGGTGTTTAGGCCTATTCTCTTTACTACTCCAGTCATATGGTAAAATAAAGGTCTCCTTTTTAAATTAAACAATGATATTCTAAAGATGTTTTTTATTTCAATTTGGAAGTTGTTTTAATAAACCAGCATTTGAAGGCAAGAAAATTTCAGTGACTGTCACCACGGTGGCAATAAAATATTATTTTAAACGTTAACAATTACATTTTGTTTCAAATTTGAAGTTATATACTACTCAATAAAGTTAAGGACAACCAAATTCTTATATATTTCCAACAGTTAATCTGTGGTATTAACATGTTTAACATTTATATAATCCAGTGGTCCTGAAGTGTTCCTAGTAGTATATATCCAATATTTTTCTAATCCAAAGAATATGCAGTTGGAAAAAAATAATAATTCTCCGATTGTATCTTTTGGTTCTAATACAGCATGTTCAGTCAAATCTGTAAACAGAAATTTGACAACCTTGAGTCCAAAATACCCATTCTAATGTAAATGAGCTTGTTACTAACCAATTAATCATCACATATTTATCACTTCATCAATTTATTTCCCGTGAATTTATATCCTGCTAGCATATAATATCTAATATTTACCCCTTCGGAGTCTCAACCATATCTTTTAGCGAAGACAAACATCAATCATGGCACTTTAAGGACTTAGGGTTAGAATAGATCCCCAACAACCTATGTTGGACTAAGAGGTGACATAGATAGGGTGGTCAGGCTAAGTGGCTTGGCTGACTGCGGGTCGTTGACAGCATGGATCAATGCTCATAACATCGATCACTGGCTTGTCTGGTGCAGACTTGATTATTTACAGGTCACTGTCTACAGTCCCTGTTTTATACCCATAATGCCGAGGACTCTATCCACTGTACCACAGAGTGGTAGTGAGGCATTCAACTAAAACAACAAACAGACCAAACGACATGACTGCAAAAATAAGCAGTTTATTTAATCACGATTTTTTGAAATGTTAATAAACATAGATTACACTAGACTAGACTAAAAACTAGGAAAAACTCAGTTGTTTCAACCCTTCTGGTAACCATACATAATTTTCTTTTTCAAGGTTTCTTTATAAAAATTGAGCCATGAAACTTTGAAATATACAAACCGATTAGATTAGTTGCCAAGTATACTTGTGGTAATAAGGATATCCTCACAATACCATTGCCACAAAACTTATCGTATGTTACTTTTTCCCTTTATTAAATATATCAGTCTACTTATAAGGTGATATATACAGGCCAAATATACAAATCTTGACAGCATTCTTTAACTAGTTGCAGGTTCAGGTGGGCACTGATGCCCATCAGTTGTCTAAGGCACTGTAATTCAATGTGCCCAGAGAGACGCATCCCTAGAGCATTAACCAAACTTACGTCTCTCAGTTTCAGGGTCACTTTGCTGGACTATCACTAGGATATGCATATAGAGTGAGTGAGTGAGTTTGGATTTACGCCGCTTTAAGCAATATTCCAGCAACATCACGGTGGGGAACACTAGAAATGGAACACATTGTACCCATGTGGGGAATCAAACCCAGGTTTTCCGTGTGACGAGCTAACACTTTACCCACTAGGCTACCCCATTGCCCATAGATCTTACTATTGATACAAATAGCATAGGAGGATTAATTCCATTTGTAGTCAATTTGTTTCAATTTTTACGAACATTCTAAATTCAATCATAAGATTATCTTGTTCAAAGGGATAATTTAATCCATGGATTAAAAACAGGGTATGAAAGGATCATAAAACAACTGAACTAATAGCTTAGACTCTGCGGTTTCCCAAATGAGATGTAGGCCAAATGTGTTACAGGCCAAACACTTCGTTTTGCATTTAACCCTTCTGATTGTAATTTATGTATCATGTGTATAGGGGTGCTTGACTTGAAAGTGGACCCAAGGGCTTATACCCGCAGTAGGTATCAAGAGTTGGATACAAAATGTTTGATTGGGAATTGCATTACTGGATCCCTAGCCAAAACTATTTAGATACAATAAAAAGAAGAAGAGGACACTTCAAGAAAGTATTGAAATCCAAAGAAAGATTTAGTCATTAATGCCAGGCATATATCTAACCAGAGTGTACTCCACCTGAATCATATCATCAACCGCAAATGGACATCGTAAAAGGTGACTATGCTTGTCGTAAGAGGCGACTAACGGGATCGGGTGGTCAGACTTGCTGACTTGGTTTATGTATGTCCTTGTATCCAAATTGCCTGGTTCGATGCTCACAATGTCCATCACTGGATTGTCTGGTCCAGACTCGATTACTTACAGACTGCTGGCATATAGCTGGAATATTGCTGCATGTGGCGTTAAACAACAAACAACAAACTTAACTGTCACATATTTTTAATGTTACCACGGTCAGCTCCTTGTTATTACACCAAGACCCATCGCTACAGCATCATTGTACTCAAATGGCTTCTCTCCCGTCAACTCATTGGTTTCCTCACCATATCGCCATCTTTGTACATTTATCCTACCATGTGAAAACATATCACCATGTATATATTAACTCTATATGCTTACTCAGTATTCACCTGATCATGCTGATGGGACAAGACATAGCCCGGAAACGTCATTACAAAGAGTAAAAGTTGTTATCCATACAAAATGTGTCAAGTATACTATAATTCGTGTTCTTCCAACTTGTAAATACCTGTCAAAGATTACGTTATTTAGACACACATATAAAATTATCTGAACTTGCATACACTGAAGTTAACTGAAGCTTTATCTTTACTCAAAATTAACATATAAACATATAACATGATTAAAGTCAGAAAGAATGTATGCATAGTCAGAATGTGAGTGAGTTGGGTTTAACGCCGCTTTTAACAGTATTCCAGTCATATCACGGCGTGTCAGCTTAATGTGGGAGGAAAGGCCGAAGTGATGCAGGTCTCAGATGTTTACCACTTCAGTGAAACCCACGAGTACGGGTATGGTGCTGACAAACCTAGAAACATAATCGGGGCGAACAGGGATTCGAACCCACAATCATAGGTTTCTTGCGTGCCCAAGGGACGCAACTCTGCACAGCGAATCATGGCACCTTAGACGACTGGGCCACCCGTGCCCCCTGCATAGTCAGAAAGAAATTCAAACATTATCATCTTGTAAAGTAAAAATGGGTTTTATAGTTGTTGCCTGCAAACAATAATTATATAACATGTAGGGCTGGGACGTGTCCATATTTGTACCCGGGTAGGCTACAAAAATCTGATTGGGAACTATTTTACTGGACTCCTGGCAAAAACTATTGCCAAACTATTTAGATACACGTATTAAATAATCTGGTCATAACTACACAAGAGTTGACAGTAGATTTATCTGTACTCGAAGTCAGAATGCATAGTCATGAAGAAATGTGAACATTAGCAACGTCTAGTGTTACCATGGTTACCATGGATTTTTATAGTTATTGTCATAATGTCATTTAAAAGCAATATATCACATGACTAGCCACGGGTCTGGATACCCGGGTCCTACTCAGGACACACCCATTACCAGTACCCAAGTTACCAGTACCCAAGTTACCAGTACCCAAGTTACCTGTCCCAGAAGTTACCTGTCCCAGCCCTAATAAAGTGACTAACCAGAGGTCTGGGCAGTGGTTGTGCTGTTTGTTGTTTAATGCTGTACTCAGCAAATATTTCAATTATATGACGGCGTCTGGGTAGTCCTGTGGATAGGTACTAGGCCTACTCAAGACCCCCGACACAAGTACGGGGATACTAGTCCTGCCCTAGCAGGGCACATAACAATTACACAACTATACCTAAGGTTTGAACATGTTGAAGGGGAGATCAGTGAATCATGAGCAACAACCGGATTCGAGCCACAACCGGATTCATGCCCAACGTTCACTCGCTCGCTCGTCATCAGGGTGGATCTTGCCATCCCAAAAACCTACCCCACACGTACATCATATACATATTGGGCACATATTGTGACACTCATTAGCTTAGTGTTAATTGATAGACGGACCTATTATTACACAACTTTCGCCACCCATTGTGTAAACCTACCTTTCGCAATATGTAACGAATGCTATCGGATTAGGCTTTTAAAGACCTAACACATGTGTGTTGTAAAATGGTACCTGTCATGTCTCAAATAAATACGTTTGCCAGTACATCAGTGTCGTCTACTTGCAGTAGAAACACGTACTGAGCGGTGTCTTGACACAAATGAACCATGGCAAGCTTCGTTTAATTAACTGACACTTCTTACTTACCGCGTAGAGACGATCACTGTTCAGCCAAGGGCAACAATGCAGTAGTTCCCTGAAGTCAGAAGAGTGACTTAGCAAGTTCACGTGTCCTTAAAATGCGTAGTAATACATACAGTTATGGTTACGTAATGCATATTTTAACTCGAGTAGATGTTACATGATATAACAAAACTACATTGTAAACGACGTGAATACTGGGACATATAGTTTGCATTGATTTTTGTAGGAAGTTACACTTTCCAACCGGACTCTTTTTTTAATGGGATTTTTTTCTGGTAATTTGGTTGTCGTAAAAATGAAAATGCTGGTTGTAATTATTGTTTTTAAATTTGTTTGTACCATTTTTCAGAACAGTTACACTTTTAGTAAATGTTTCAGTTGTTCATCGAATTGTGG